GGTGGGGGGTTCGAATCCAGCCCGGCCGCCAAAACAACAATGACGGCTGCAACTACAAAATAGCCGGGCATTGTGGCAGGCGCCTGTGGTCCCAGCTACTTGGGAGGCTGAGGCAGGAGACTCGCTTGAGCCCAGGAGTTGGAGGTTGCAGTGAGCTGTGATGCCATGGCACTCTACCCTATCACTTGAGGCTCTGTCTCAAAAAAAAAAAAAAAAATTGGAAAATGCTGGGCACGGTGGCTCATGCCTATAATCCTAACACTCTGACACTCTGGGAGGCTGAGGCAGGTGGATTGTTTGGCTAAGGAGTTTGAGACCAGCCTGAGCAATAGTCAGACCTTGTCTTTACTAAAAAAAAAAAAAGGAAAAGAAAAAAATTAGCCAAGAGTTATGCCTATAATCCCAGCTACTTGAGAGGCTGAGGCAAAAGGAACTCTTGAGCCTAAGAGTTTGAGGTTGCTGTGAGCTATGATGCCACTCCACCCAGGGGAGGGGGACAGAGTGAGACTCTGTCTCAAAAAAAAAAAAAAAATTGGAAAAGATTTTAAAAGAAAAATAGTCTGTCACCACTTTAAAATTTTAAAATGTTAAGAGCTTTTGATTGTGAATTTGATTACTATGATAGTTTGGTTCTTAAGGAATTCTCAACAGAGATCAGAAACAAAGAATGCAATTAATTTAGTCAACAAATAATTCTTAAGTGGCCATAGCAACATCCCAGAATAATAGCAGAAATGTAAAAGAAGGGTATCTGTGCTTAGGGAGCTTAGGTGCCATTTGAAATTATTACAAATGCTTTTCACTAGTTCAGTCTTCATGTGAAGAATGATCATTAAAATGTAATTTTTTAGGCTGGGTGTGGCCTAAAGGTAGCTCATGCCTGTAATCCTACCACTCTGGGAGGCCAAGGCAGGTGGATTGCTTGAGCTCAGGAGTTCTAAACCAGCCTGAGCAAGAGCCAGACTCTTGCCTCTACTAAAAATAGAAAAAACAAAACAAACAAAAAAAACCCTGGGAGTTGTGGTAGGCACCTATAGTCCCAGCTACTTAGGAGGCTGAGGTGGGAGGATCACTTGAGCCCAAGAGTTTGAGGTTGCTGTGAGCTATGATGATCTCATGGCACTCTACCCAGGGTAACAGAGTGAGACTCTGTCTCAAACAAAACAAACAAACAAAAAGAAGTAATTTTTAAAGCCATATTTATTCTGTGTCAAAAATTTGTATTAATATCCTTGAGTGGATTAGCACAAACACATGCATGCCTGAATCAAAATGATGATTAAAAATGTATTTTCCTAGTATTTCCAGACATGATTCTACTTGAAATTATACTTTTTTCCTCATTTTTTTCTTTTTAAAATTTCGACCTGGATTCTGTCCTCCCACCTTCAGAAAAAGAAGCATATGAAAGTAGTTTTGTGTAACTCTCTTCACCATAGCTTCAAAGAAAATGAAATACCTAGGAATATACCTAAGGAAAGAAGCGAAGGACCTCTATAAAGAAAATTCTGAAACCCTAAGAAAGGAAATACCAGAGGATATTAACAGATGGAAGAACATACTATGCTCATGGATGGGAAGAATTAACATTGTTAAAATGTCTATACTACCCAAAGCAATTTACCGATTCAATGCCATCTCTATTAAAATACCAATATCGTTCTTTTAAGACTTGGAAAAAATGATTCTGTGTTTTGTATGGAACCAGAAAAAACCCATATATGTAAGGCAGTTCTTAGTAATAAAAACAAAGCCGGGAGCATCACCATACCAGATATTAGGCAGTAGTACAAAGTCATAGTGGTGAAGACAGCATGATACTGGCACAAAAATAGAGACATAGACATTTGGAATCCAATAGTAAACCAGGAAATAAAACTACCATCTTACAACCACCTAATCTTCAATAAACCAAATAAGAACATACACTGGGGGAAAGACTCCCTATTCAATAAATGGTGCTGGGAGAACTAGTTATCCACATGTAAAAGACTGAAACTAGACCCACACCTTAACTCCACTCACAAAAATTGATTCAAGATGGATAAAGGGCTCAAATTTAAGGCATGAAACAATAAAAATCCTCAAAGAAAGCATAGGAAAAATATGGAAGATATCGGCTTGGGGAAAGACTTCATGAGGAAGACTGCTGTGGCAATTGCAACAACAAAAATAAATAAATGGGACTGAATTAAACTGAAAAGCTTTTGTACAGCCAAGGAGACAATAACCAAAGCAAATAGCCAGCCTACACAATGGGAAAGGATATTTGGATATTTTGAGTCAGACAAAAACTTGATAACTAGGATCTATAGAGAATTCAAGTTAATCCACATGAAAAAAGCTAGCAATCCCATATATCAATGGGCAAGAGACATGACTAGAACCTTCTTTAAAGAAGACAAACAAATGGCTAACAAACATATGAAAAAATGCTCATCATCCCTAATTATTAGAGAAATGCAAATCAAAACTACCCTGAGATACCATCTAACCCCAGTGAGAATGGCCCACGTCACAAAATCTCAAAACTGCAGATGCTTGTGTGAATGTAGAGAGAAGGGAACACTTTTACACTGCTGGTGGGACTGCAAACTAATATAACCTTTTTGAAAGGAAGTATGGAGAATCCTCAAAGAACTTAAGCTAGACCTCCCATTTGATCCTGCAATCCCATTACTGGGCATCTACCCAGAAGGAAAAAAATCCTTTTGTGACAAGGACACTTGCACTAGACTGTTTATTGCAGCTCAGTTTACATTTGCCAAAATGTGGAAGTGGTCTAAATGTCCACCAACCCAGGAATGGATTAACAAGCTGTGGTATATGTATACCATTACTAGGCATCTACCCAGAAGAAAAAAAAATCCTTTTTTTCCTTTTGGCTGGGGCTGGGTTTGAACCCACCACCTCCAGCATATGGGGCCAGCGCCCTACTCTTTTGAGCCACAGGCACCCCCCCCCCAAATCCTTTTATAATAAAGACATTTGCACTAGACTATTTATTGGAGCTCAATTTATAGTCACCAAAATGTGGAAACAACCTAAATGCCCACCAACTCGGGAATGGATTAACAAGCTGTGGTATATGTATATCATGGAATACTATTCAACCATTAAAAAAATGGAGACTTTACAGCCTTTGTATT